ATCCACCTTAGATGATCATAAAGCAAAACACACTGGTGAGAAACCCTACATGTGTGGGGAGTGTGGATACAGAACAGCTTACAAGTTTGACTTATCCAAGCATATGAGAACCCATACAGAAGAAAAACCCTACAAGTGTGACCAGTGTAGCTATTCTTCAGCCTCTACGTCTTCCCTAACTCGACATAAAAGAATTCACACGGAGGCACCAACTCTGCAACTGTGACCATCTCGTAGTGACATTTAATGTGCATAATCTTCTCTTAAGTATATTTTTTCTATCTTCAGACTATATGTACCTTACGGATACAGTACAATAATTTTGAAAACATTTAGGCTAACTACATGATTTGTTATAAGATATGCTTCTAATATTTGCAATTATTCAAGTTTTTCCTGACGAAATGTCTTAGGCACTTTTGTCCACTGCATTTTTAATCCCTGTAAAACTGTGGTTTAGTTACAAGAATAATTCTTAGCCAGACAAATATACTTTCTTTAACTATCAATTATATATTTTGGAAACGAATCATTTGATAACCAGATTTGTAATTTTGAACTGTTAACTTAATTTGTGGTAGAACACCAAAATTTGTTGGTATTGACTGGATCATGAACATATAGAGCAATTAACATCGGTAAGTGATTGTGAACAGTAGTTAAAATGTAGAAGTTGATGTTGAGTTTGTTTGAATGAAGCCATTGAAGGAGCTTCTATTTCTTGTTAATACAGGTACATATGTACTTCACTTTGTCTAAGTGTTTGCCTGTATGTCTTACAAATACAATAATATCTTTTGACTAACATATACTCAGGAAACTAGCGTTTGGTTTGCAGTTAAATCTTTATGCTGATTTGCATCGGTGTAAAATGACTGACTTGCTTCAGTTTCCAATAGTAGGAAGTATTTCACAGTTGTGAAAACGTAGGCGTTATTTTGGATATGAGTTCAAAATTCTGTTTGTTTTGAATTACTTTTTGAAGATGTATCTATAGAAATTTTCCGCTAACACAATTAAATCGTTATGTACCTTGAACATGATGTTTCCTTCTGTGTTGCCTTTTTTCCTAGGGTGGAATATTGTCAGAGGTGGTGAGTTGATCATAAAACACAGAAATCAAGATTCACACCAAACAGTTTGGCTTGGCATTTATTCCCTTAAAATATCTCTTTTAAATGTAGATCAGAAACAAACGGCAGACGCTTGTTACGTTGTTAATGTGGTCGGTTTTAAACAAGGAACGTTGACATTATGAGGAAAGCGTAACGTGGTACCTGACATCAAATGTACTACATGGGTAATCAGGTCGACAATTTCACCCTTGACCCAGACCGAGTTCACCTCTGACCTCGCGAGACGAAGGAAGGACAAAGCTGCCCGAGTTCCGGTTTACGTGAAGAGAAAAACCATCATAGGAAGCAGGTAAGGCTTAGAAACGGACAGAAAAGTATTCTATCGCTGAAAGGAATAGTTTAAGACCATTTCTGTGGAAGAAGGACCGCAGTAGGATGATAATTTGTAGCCATTTTCGGGATGTGAATATCGTTGAATTAAAGGGGAGGGGGCGAAACCAAACATACGTTCGACCCTCGCCACTTACATGTACGTCGATTTGCATCAGGCAAAGTGGCCTTTTAGAGTACGTGAAATTGTATAGAAATGTTAATTGTATTGTAAAGAATCGCACAAGGCGTACATTACAAAATCTAAAAACGCTTAGAACTGATTTGTAAAAACAGTAAATAGAGAAGCCTGGTGACCAAACCTATAGGCTATACTGCCGACTCTCTTTCCAGCCTAGCGAATGTGAATATCGTTAAATTAAAGGGGGAGGGGGGCGAAATCAAACATACGTTCGACCCTCGCCACGTACTAGTACAATGTACAAGTACGTCATGCTGCATCAGGCAAAGTGGCCTTTATTTGGATGACATGGAATGGTATAGAAAAACAGCAATTGCACTGTGTGTGTGTGTGTGTGTGTGTATACGACGCATACATGCACACACACAAACGCACACACATACATACACACACACACACATACACACACAGTGCAATTGCTGTTTTTTTATACCATTCCATGTCATCCAAAGAATGGGTGAGTGTGTATTTGTGTGTGTGTGTGTGTGTGTGTGTGTGTGTGTGTGTGTATGCGTGTGTGTGAGTAGGTATGCGGGCATGTGTGTGTGTGTGCATGTGTGTGTATGCGTGTGTGCGTGTGCCTCTGTGTGTGTGTGTGTGTGTGTGTGTGTGTGTGTGTGTGTATGCGTGTGTGTGTGCGCGCGCGCGCGCGTGTGTGCGTGTGTACATTCGTCGAACAGCAAATGAGCCCAATTTAACAGTTGCAACGACTATATCCTTGTACGTATCATTTATTGAGTTGTTGTGAATTACGTTTCAATCTAATTGGGAAAATACATTGTTTTCTGCAAATCTCCATGATTTCTCCATTTTCTCATTTTAAGCTGGACATGACGACGACAGGACACGGGTCTTCCTCCGGAGTTGGTCAGCACTGCTGTGATGGGTCTCCCACCGGGGTTTCCGAGGTCGAATGTGACAGCAAAACAAACAATGTTCAAGGCCAGGCGGCAGCACAACAAGTCAACTTGGATAACGCTGGTGAGAAGCCCTACATGTGTGGGGAGTGTGGATACAGGACAGCTCATAGGGCCAGCTTATCCCGACATATGAGAACCCATACAGGAGAAAAACCCTACAAGTGTGACCAGTGTGACTATTCTACAGCATGGAAATATGCTTTGGACCAACATCTAACAATGCATGCTGGTGACAAACCCTACATGTGTGGGGAGTGTGGATACAGGACAGCTGTGAGGTCCAGCTTATCCCGACATTTGAGAACCCATACAGGAGAAAAGCCCTACAAGTGTGACCAGTGTGACTATTCTGCAGCACACAAATCTACTTTGGACAAACATCTTGCAAAACACGCTGGTGAGAAACCCTACATGTGTGGGGAGTGTGGGTACAGGGCAACTCTGAAGTCTACCTTATCCCAACACATGAGAACCCACACAGGAGAAAAACCCTACAAATGTGACCAGTGCGACTATTCTGCAGCACACAAATCTACTTTGGACAAACATCTTGCAAAACACGCTGGTGAGAAACCCTACATGTGTGGGGAGTGTGGGTACAGGGCAACTCTGAAGTCTACCTTATCCCAACACATGAGAACCCACACAGGAGAAAAACCCTACAAATGTGACCAGTGCGACTATTCTGCTGCACAGAAACCTCATTTAGACCGACATCTAGCAAAACACGCTGGTGAGAACCCCTACATGTGTGGGGAGTGTGGGTACAGGGCAACTCAAAAGTCTACCTTATCCCGACATATGAGAACCCATACAGGAGAAAACCCTACAAGTGTAACCAGTGTGACTATTCTGCAGCACGGAAACATGATTAAACCAACATCTAGCAAAGCACACCTGTGAGAAACCCTACATGTGTGGGGAGTGTGGGTTCAGGACAGCTTACAAGTCTAACTTGTCCCAACATATGAGAACCCATACGGTAGGAAAACCCTACAAGTGTGACCAGTGTAGCTATTCTGCAGCCTCTAATGCTATCCTATCTCGACATATAAAAATCCACACAGAGGCACCAAGTCTGCAACTGTGACCATCTCGTAGTGACATTTAGGACGCACAGTCTGCTGTTAACTACAGTTTTTTTTCTACTTAATATTTTGAAACGAATCTTAAGGATATATGGCAGTTTTGTTCATTAATATTTAGGCTGAATATTCTGTAAGAATTCATGATGTTTGCAAGTAGACAAAGGTTTTTCCCAAGAAAAAGTCCTATACTTGTTCACTTTAATATCTAATTAAGTTATGACTATAATTTAGGTACAAGAATAAGTCTTACATGTAGTTTCGCTTAGTAGCCCATATACTTTGTTGTAATATCAGATATCAAATCTATTTTAGCTATTTAAAATTGTAGAGTGAGAATAGTAAGCGTTATAGTATAGATTGAATAATGTATATATACATAATCAGTAATTAACATCGGTAAGTGATTGTACACAGTAGTTGACGCTGAAAGGTAGACATTAGTGCTGTGTTTGTACACAGTAGTTGGAATGTAGACGTTAGTGTTGTGTGTGTATGAGCTTAGATTTCCTGTATATCTACTAGTAGTTCCTGTCACGAAGTGTTTGCCTATATGTCCTACAAACTCAATTATGTCTTATGACTCTCAACTCTTTAAACTACTGAAATTTCTTAGGATAAAACCAAAAGCTAAACGTGCCGATTGCCAAAACAACACTGAGACACCAGTCCTTTGCAGTAAGGACTGTACAACCTTGGAACTCCTTACCTAGTACAGTTGTGAAGGCTGAAAGCGTTAACAGTTTTAAGACGAGACTGGATGACTGTTGGAGCAAGAGAAAATACCTAGAGTGAGGAGAGTGTGACTACAGGCTGATAGCCTTCTACACTGAGGGTTTCTCAAGGTATTCTCAAGGTAATTGTATTGATTGGTATCAGTGTAAAATGACTGATGTGCTTCAGATTCCAAAGTAGGAAATAATTTTACGCCAGTGAAAAGGTTGACGATAGGTTGTATAGAAGTAAATTTCCTGTGTTTTGTTTCGAAGATGTATCTAGATTTAGATATTTTCCACTGACATAATTAAATCGTGTAGTACCTTGAACATAAAGTTTCCTTCTGTGTTGCTTTTTTTTTTTCGTTGGATGGAATATTGTCCGAGGTGGTGAGTTGATCATAAAACACAGAAATCAAGATTCAGACCAAACAGTTTGGCTTGACATTAATTCCCTTAAATTATCTCTTTAAAAGTAGATTAGAAACAAAAGTCAGACGCTTGTTACGTTCTTAAAGTGGTAGGTTTGAACGTAGAACGTTGACATTATAAAGACAGCTTAACGTTAAAACCGACATCAAATGCACTACTTGGGTAATCAGGTCGACAATTCCACCTTTGACCCAGTTGGCGTTCACCTCTAACCTCACGAGACGACAGAAGGACAAAGCTGCCCGAGTTCCCGTTTACGTGAAGAGAAACAAGACTTTTGAAAAAAGTTTATCTCGGCCGCTGGCCATGTAGTTTTGTGTTCTTGGAGGATGTCCACATAGATTTGTGTAACTGCTAGAGAGGAAAGAATGTATTACCTAGTATGTTCATACCTGTAACACCAAACAGGGTAATAAGTTGGCTTCCATTATCATTTGCTTCAATGGAATTAGTGAAAAATATTAATCTCGAAGCAGATGTTGGGAGGGAAAATGTTTAGGTAGAGATACAGATTTTCATTTGTGATTGAAGATTTGAGAGACAGGAAAGAGTTTAGGATATGTATGTGGAGCTAATTTCTCTGTTAGAGTAGGTTACACAGCTCTATGTATGGGGAAGACATTTTTTGGAATCAGTAGTGTCATGTTGTATATTACAGAGGAACTATGTTTCATCTGTAATGTCTGGACAATACTGATGAATAAAGAGCAAAGATGCATGTGTCAAAAGTGAAATGTTTTATTTTGGTATAACTTCATGAGACAACACAAAATGGAGTGGCTACAATAACAGACGCTGTCAAACGTTATCAAGCTTAATGCACTAACATATTGTTAGGTTGTACGAATTCATAAATTTTCACGGGGGGGGGGGCGATAACGTAACTCTGTTTAAATCTGTTCAACAGCACGAATAAAACACAATGTAATTGATTGCCCTTGCCCGTAGTATCTTTAGCTCCATTTTTATCCTATGGCTCTATGCCTAATACCCTTATAATTCCTGATATTTTGCTATTTTTGCTAAGTAAATACCTTACCAGCCTCATGCGTTACATCCGGGATCTTCGATATGGGAAATTCCA